CATTTTATTCTTATTGTCATGTATGTCCTATTTGTCAGGTGACAGAAGAACCAACACAAAGCTCAGAGAGTAATGGTGACACAAGATCACAGGTGAAATTGGATGATGACTTGTTGGTTCATGACTGTATTTGAAGCACATGTGTGACTGCATGTATGTGGAATGGCTCACTGTTATTCATCAGGTGAGAGAGGTGAAGAGGCGAGGTCACAGGTGACTGACTGATGATTTGGTGCTATAGATTAACTAGTATTTATTATCATGACAGTTGTTAGGCTGCTGATGTAAATTGATTCATTAGTGTATATTTGACTAAGTATCTGAATTGACATGTCTCACTTTTTATATGGCACGAATCAATGTGTTATTTTATCAGGTGGCAATATGTCCTAGTGCAGTCAGAGGGGAAGAGCCAGGGCCAAAGGTGAGGCACATCAAGCACATAATAATAATTGTAATCTGAGGATAAAACGCAGGTACTGAGGCTAAAAGAAGCTTCAGTGCTCTCAGAAGACTAAAAACATGTCACGGCAGGGCGCGCCAGCATGAGGAATGAGGTAGACCCAAGAGCAGACACGGTGGAGACAGAACTAGGTTTCCAAAATAAGGCAAGCCTTTATTGTGGCTGCAGGCATAACAAAAACACTAGGGGACACTGAAACTGGGAAAACTAAGAAGACAGAGAACACTGTGTAAACTAAGAAGGCTAAGGCACTCTTTGAAGGAACTATGGAAAAAAACTATAAACATAGAGTAACTAAGCAGGCTAAGAACACAGTGTCACAATACAGGAAAATACGAGGTGAGGATAACAGACGATCTGACACTGACACAAAGACACACTGGGCTTAAATACACTGAGGCAGTCATCAAGAAATTAGAGACAGAAGGGGAACACAGCTGGGAGGAATAAGACCTGATAAGACAGAAGGAACAAAGCTAGAAACACTGACATAAGACGGGAACATGAGCCTTCAGAGTAAAACAGGAAACAAGACACCACTAAACAAACACGCAGACACGACACAGAGAGACAGAGTAGACACTGAACTAAACCTGCAATAAACATGAGAACACAAAAACCTACGAACTAATCCCTAAACAAGAATAACCGAAACATAGAGTCATAATCATCATTATCATCATAATAAGAAAAGAATCCAAAATGCAAAACACACCAAAAGCATAACTCAAAATACTGGGTCAAACTGACCCAGAACCGTGACAAAACATGGCTAAGGTCAACAATGACTCAAATGAGATCAAACAATGCTGCTGTATGTCCACCAGGAGAGACTGGACAGTATAGATGTAAAACAAATATGCCAGCAGTTTATCTCAGTTAACGAGAGGAGAAGGCATGTGTGTGGCTCCTTCACATAGTGGACATTGAGTTGTTGTGTGGGACACCAGTAGTCCATGTCTGTTGCTGTAACAGTAGTTCATGTTGAGAATAAAAAATCCCAGCTCACTGATCTGATCGGGGCAATAGTGCCTAAAATGTTGCATAATTTTGCTGAGAGATCTTTTACTTTGTGGTGATCTAAGATGAGTAGTTTTATGAACAAAAACCACCAGGTCATTAAGTGTTCCCTTAGTGCTAATGTGTCAGAGATGTTGGTGTAACTGAAGTAATGTTGTTAAGAATAAAGGTCATATTCTTTTATTGTCATGACTCTATTTTTATTTTGGTATGATACCTGATTTATATGGAATATAACTAAAGCCTAAAATACTTAAGTAATTTAACAATATATAATTCACATATAAAACTATGAATTGTAATTTTAAATAGTTTAAAAGCATGCAGAATAGCATATGTAGGAAGTATATTTCTTCTCTTTTTTTTTTTTTATCAAGAAGCAAAGACAAAAAGGGGGAAAAAAAGAAACAGAGCAGAGTTCGGTGGTTGAATCATCCGTCCCCACCAATGCCAAAGCCAAATCTACGCCCTTGATTTTGGTGTATGTAGAAAACGTCACTTACCTTACCTGGTGCCAAAAATTCCTCTGCCTTATCCCTGGGTTCTGCACATTGAAGACCCAGAGAAATTAAAAAATATTCACTTTGATCATCAGTTTTCTGTATATGATGTTCATAAGCAAAGTGTACATTGTACTATTCATTTGTATGTTTAATGACACTGATCTACATGATGGAAATTATATTGCAATACTCACTAGCAGCCATGGTCAGAGCTATTATAGCACAGAAAATTGCACATGCAGTCAGCTTCTTCATGGTGATGTTCAGTATCTGTAGTAAACAGAAAACCCAACGTGAATAACAATTCATTAAAGAAAGAAGGAAAGTTTATTGCAGACCTTTTTTAGACTATCTTCTCCTATTTCTATTAACTATAAGCCCGTAACTTCAAGCATCAAGTGTGGAAGTGCTGAACTGCTCTCAGACCAATGTTTAGGTAAGGCTTATTATATTTACATATTTGCATAACCAGAATGTAACACTGAAAAAACTAACACTTTTATTTTTCATGCCTTCTTCACATTTCTTTCTTTCTTTCCAAATCTAAACAAAAATAACTGTCTCATACCTAATTGGATTTCCTACTTTTTTCCAATTTTCCTACTTAATTTCACATACTGACTGAACCTCAATAGAGGTTTCATGAGGACAAATACAGAACAATTAACAGTGTCTTGTAGGAAAAGAGCAGTGATGGAAATAACCTCATTATAAGTATTGCCATTACTTTTTTCAGTAACTAGTAATCTAACTAATTCTTATTTCTATCGTTACAACGCCTTTACCTTTACTAACAAGAAAACGCAGGAGCTAGCGGGGCAAAACAATCGCACGAGTGCTGCTGATTGGCTGAGAAAGAAAAGTAGTCGTGTTAAACCAATCACATGACCAATTTAAGATGACATAGCAATATGTCAACCCAAGAAGAGCCCGAGTGTCCATTTTTGTGTTAAAAGTGTGGACTTCAAACTATATATCAGTTTTTGAATTGTGTTGATAGGCCACGTAAAACCAGAGTCATGATAAAAAAAAATATACGCTGTGTTTTTTCCTGAATACTATCGTCATGTTTACTGTCTAAGGACAGTGGTAGCACTTTCTGCTTACAACCAAAAAAAAAAAAAAAAGAATAGATACATTATTATATTATATTATATATATTATAATATTTTGTGTGCCATCTTATTTGATGCAGGGCATCTGATTGTTCTGTAAATAGTTTGAAATGTTTATTAAAAAAAAAAAACCTTGACTGCAATAACTTTGTGGTTTGCAAAGCGTGTGCATAGGTTTTTAAATGTACAATTCATATTTGCATTTTAAGTTATGAAATGCAATGTATGTGTTAATATAATATGTCAAAAAAAAATTACCATAAATTAAAACGTGTGAGGTTGTGCTGAAAAGAATGATACCGAACAAGGCAAGATAAATAGTTTTTAAAGGTGAAATGTGGAGGTAAAATTAAAAGTAGTCAAAAACAACCAATTATACCCCATGGCAGAGTTGCTGTTCCTTTATCCAGTTAACGTCAGACATAAAGAAAAGTGTGTATGCCCTTGAGCCTTACAGGCCACACAGGGGAGTAGAAGGTGCCATAATAACATTGCTTTGCTTAGTTTTTTTTTATCTTTTAAAACATTTCAAATTCATATTTTAATGAATAGACTCTGAGAGGAGTTGACACCTCACGTCACTCCTCATGTAGCGTTGAAGCAAAAGAAACAAAGATGTGATTTGACAAAAAAGGTCCTTCAGCTGGTATATGAGATTACTTGTTACTGACAAGCAATACTCCCTCGATGTCAGCTCAGAGTCTCTTGGCGCACATGGATGGGAGCACAGCAGTGATGTGTTCACATCACTGCAGTGGTGGCCCTAATCCATCCGTCAGTCCCCTATTTCCTTCTTCCTTTACTCATTAACAAAACCTCAAGATACTTAAACATCTCCACTTGGAGCAACAACACACCGGTGACCCAGAGCAAACACTCTGGGATTTTCTGGTTGAGGTCACTGGCCTCAGACTTGGAGGTCCTGATTTTCATTTCTCATACTTCATACTTAGCTGCAAATCACTTCACTCTGAGCTTTAGGCCAACAGCTGACAAACCAAACACAACCACATCATCTGCAAAAAGCAGAGATAAGATTCTGAGGCTACCATAGTGGAAGCCTCCGGCCACTAGGCTGCACCTAGAAATTCTGTTCATAAAAACTAGGAAGAGAGTTGGAGACAAATGGCAACCCTGGCAGAATCCAACACCGACAGGGATCTAGTCTGACTTATTGCTGACAATTCAGACCAAGCTCTCACAATAGTTGTACAAGGAGAGAGTCAATCATAGCACCAGGTGAGAGATCCCATACTCCCAAAGCACCCCCATAGGATACGTGATCAAAGGACGCGGTTAACTGTCTTATGTCTTGCTCTCTGTCCATTCATCTCTCCTCTTTTGTGTCTTCTTCTGGGCCAGATTTTTCTTTTGAATTTTTTTCTCTCATTCTCTCTGATCGTTGTAGCTCTCCTTGTCTTGGTTTTTGGTTCATTGGATATTTTTTTTTACTCTTTAACATTATTATACATTTATGTTTGTCTAAAAACAATCAAAATTTGATCAAAAAATGAGAGAGAGAAACGTTTCAGACAGTTCACACTCTCAAAATCACTCATCCACCATGTCAACTGAGAGAGAGAGAGATATCAGGCACCACTGAAGTGTGTGTGTGTGAGCACTAACCCTAAGATAAGTTCTCCCTGTTTTTTTTTTTTTGTTTTTTTTCAAAACACAGGATAAGATTTTAATACCACATATTCTTACATTTTCGGGTTATTTACCATACAGTGATATTGACAATCGATGTTTATGACAGTTCTGATTATCCTGATCAACATTATTTTAACATCATAATGCAATTAATGCTCTTTTTTTCTATTTTCTGCTGATATAAGCAGTTCCTTAGTTTAACCCAGAATTTCAATAGTTAAAATTTGACTCTGGTTTGAGACTGACCTGTGACATGAGACCCAGAATGACCGTCTGTCGATAAAAACACTGTCCAAATAAATGGAGCAGCCTCTGCAATGATCCACACACAGACTAGAATGAGCTTCGGTCCAGGAAACAGTGGAACAGAGCTTCTCTCTGTGAGGACAGAACATGCAGTTCTCATCAACACTTGGATCAAAACAGAAATAAAAGCATCTACAGCCACTGCACCACCTAAAATCCTCCACTGTAGCTCTCCAACCTTTTTTGTGAATGGGGTTTTATAAAATGCTCTCCATGCAGGTTTTACATGTGATCCCAGACCTATAGACAGTTAAAGTAGCCAGTCTCTTTGTGTCTAAGATTTGAGCATCCGCATTTATACAACTGAAAGTTTTTCAAATCCAGCCCTGACTTTGAAATGTGACCTGGAATTATTTAATGGGTGTCAACAGAAAGAAGAGAGAAAGCACTGGAAAATAAAATACAGATTCCAGCGATGACGCTAGGAAAATTTCTCCAGGAATTTCCCTTTTCCAGTCAGCAGCATTACCCTGTGTGTCTTTTTGACATAATTTAGTTTCTCGAGATCCACCAGGCTAAAACGAAAGGCTTGTTTTGAGACATCCATATTAAAGGTTCACAGCATAAATTTGCTCATATTTTATTGTCTACCTCTGACTGACCATGTCTCTGTGATTCAGACCTCTTTCACTTTACATTTTTGTTATTTAGTCTTAGTGTTCATCCACTTTACAGAGGAATATAGCATCCATTACAATACCTCTTCACCTCACCCTGAAATCTTCCCTCACAAGAAAAGTAACACCAACTAGTAAACATCTAAACAACAGAAAAAAAGCACTACAATCACATTAAAGAGAAAAGTTTCAGGAAATTTGCCCATCGTGCAACATGCTAACAGAATCACTTATCCAGCACATCTGCTCAGAGAGAGATGGACCGAGAGCTTAGACTTTCACTCAAGCAGTTATGGTTAAAAATTAGAGATGAAAACATAACTTTAGAAGTTTAGAAATTATGTCTAAACTTAAGTTTTGAAACATGCTTTGAAAACTAAAACTTCTTCCCAAGGCTGTTGGGTAATTTATGATAAATGAGCCATTATAAATGGTTCTCACTTGGTGGCAGTTTGTATGGCTCATCTGTGCAGTCCGTTTTAAATAAAAACCTTTACATAACAACTTATTTCATAGTGCGATCTTCACATGATTCATATGCTTTAAAGCACAATCTCTACTTGATTGCATGTTGATTATATTCACAGTATTTACCTATTCTGTCTTTGGGGATAGCTTCCTAGCTATTAGCTTAGCTCTTAGTCACTAATAGCATGGCTTCTTCACCTGTCCCCCACAATTTTCTGCTCAGTGTGTCAAATGTTTAGCTACTCCGTGGCCTCCTATATTTATAATAAAGACTTGTAATTAATTTAGCCTGTTTACACCTATGGAGGCCTGGCTCAGTGAGATGGAGAGCCAGCTCTGCACCCTCAAAAATCCTGTAGCTAGCCTGTAGTGAGTGTGGCCAGACATAGCTTAGCCACTGTTAGCTCTCCCCCAGGAGATTGTCTCCCTTAAGGTGCTTTACCTATTTTTAATATATAAAACTGGAAGATATAATTCCTCCACTTTTATCTTCTTCAATATCATGTACAAACACAGTGCAGAGTAGCTACCTAAACTCTATTCTCATAGAAGTTGATTATCTTGTTAATACAGTTATATCCTTACTGCATATACTTTTCCAGAGAAGCCACTATGGCTTCTCTGGAAAAGGGATCAGATGCACTTGACTTGCTGGTATAATTCTCAAATGCACATTCAGAAGATCTTCATTTATCCTCAAAAAAAGAGTCTGATGCTTAAAAAAAACATGTAAAGTTGGACATCTTATTATTGATCATTGATTGAAGAAAACAAGAACAACCCCAGTATTTTTTTAAGCACTGTTGTCAGGCTGACAATGAGTCAGAGCTCTGTTGAGCCAAGCATTGCTTTAAGCTTAAGTAGTAAAGACTTTATAAATATCCTCATAAATAAAATTATATGACTCGAAATACAGCATTAAATAATTATTTAAATTTGTCAATAATATATATTTATTCAATTAATTATTTTAAATAATTATTTACAATTTTAATTAATTATTGCCACAATTAATTAATTATTTAATGCTGTATTTAATTAATTCATTATGTCAGTCCTGGCCTTCCATATAACAACCATTTTGATTTATTTTTAAACTCTTGTGATCAGTATGAGCAAATTGTGTGAGTTTCCATACCAAAAAAAATGGTATCAGAGACACTGATTTTTAGCATGGTATACTGCAGACGTCCCTTGGGTTGTTTATGATTTTATGCATAATTTAGCGGACTGCATTCCCTGTGTGGTAACAAAAATAACATTGTTTATAGGTGTAAGCAAAATATTCAGATATGCTACCAAAAAATCATTAACAAAAGAAATGGAACAGACTGTTGGGATCTTGTGGCTGTAATAGCATCCATAACTGAAGGTTTTTCATTAATTTATTTTCACAGTTCTAGATGATCACATCTGTTTGTTGTCATTTAAATGAGTTGGACTTGCAAACTTTGTAGTTGTTTGTGGAAATTGCAAGGGAATAATTGAACATTACATTAACAGTCACACACATTACAAAAGAAGCTGTCCACTGCCTTGCATATACACAGACTGTGCACAGTATTTCAGATATGAAAAACCCTTGCAGGTCCATTTAAGAGATCAGGGGGTCACAAAAAGGAGTATGAAACTGACTTGCTGGCTTTAATGTAAAAAACCTGTTGTGTAACTTTAATGAGGCAGCTAGACTAAAGCAATATATTGCTTATCAAGGTAAACATCTGACTGATAAGGAAATTGTTACTTGTCCTTTTAATCTTCCTTTTTCATATCAACACCCGTGTTTCTGTTTTAATCCTCAAATTAAGGAAGTGTGCTCAGATTACCAGTTTCTCTTTTAAAGGTTACTGAGTGAATGTCCAAAAGATTTCTCCGTGGCAACCACAGTAAGAGCTGGCTGACTTAAGCTGGTGAAAAGTGATTCAGTTATTTATTATCATATTTACCAGAGGAGATACTGGGTCATCTTTTATGAAAGGAAAAAGATCACTCTGTCCCATAATTCATGGCAACACACCAACCCCACTGTTCAAGAATGTGATGGAGCTCATGCAGATGTGTGTTTTTAATTTGATTCCATAACAATAGGCTCTTAAACAAACAGCACAACATTACACTGCTGTAACAATATCTGCTCCATATCCAGGTGTTAACATCCATAAAGAAGATAATTTGCATAAACATTCTGAACCAAGATTATAATTATATTAATTACATTATATAAAGTGTTCAGTTTGCATTGAAACAAGCGGAAAGTGTCAAAATGTCCACAAGGTGGAGACAGACAGTAACACACTACTGATGAGGACATTTGTAAGACTGTTTTTCCACCAAGCATTTGTAATCACAGAGCTGAATTCAAGATTAAGGATATTGTTTATTAATTTAAATAAATACAACAAACACTGAGTATCAAAATAAAAGCTGATAGTTTTAATCCATTGAAAAGTAATAATATCAATTTATGTTGCATGTTAGTTTTTGCAATATTACTCATATTGAAATAACTATATACAAAAATATTCTAATTTTACATATTTGAGTTTACTCACTTCTTATCATTTATCTTAACATATCATTTTATGTTTAAAATTTGTTTTTATTTATTATGGCACCTTGTGAGTGCTAATTTTTTTCCCTACCTCATGTTTACAGTGGGAATATTTTTGGAGTGTAACCTGCTCAAGTGTCATATGTGTCAAAAAGATATTTTTAAGGGAAACTTTAGCCTGCCACCCAAACCTTAAACATACTGAAGAAGAAAAACGTCAGATCTGGATCTGAGAGAGATGAGTGTATGTGTGTATGTTAAAATGAAAGCCTGATGGTATAGATGACTATGTACATCTCTGTTTATTTGTTTTTGTATGTTTTTATTGTGTATACTCATCTTCTTTTATTGTGAGGACTAAATTGTTATAGTTCTTGATAAGGGACTATAACAATTTAGTCCTTTTTTACTTTGTGATTAGTGTCGTTGTTGTTGTTGTTGTTGTTGTTGTTGTTGTTGTTGTTGTTGTTGTTGTTGTTGTTGTTGTTGTTGTTATTATTATTATTATTATTATTATTATTATATATTTTTTACATGTGCAATACAATTTTGTGCGCTTTTGCAAATGCTCAAATGCTGCGCAAAACAAGCAAGTCATGACATTTGCACAATGTCTTTACTCATGGAGCACATTTTGAAACATGCTGTGGTTGCTGGACTGTTTGCTCTCATTTTAGTTGTGAGGAGAATCACTGAAAACTGGCAAGGTCAGAAGTCATAAGGACATCAATGCAGCAAATGTTCTTTGCTCACAAGAAGAGTAGCTGATGCTGCAGGAAGCTTAAGTTAATGTTGCAAAAACAAAGAGCAAACACCATCATGCATCAGTGTGTGTTTTATGGGAGCTTCATGCTTTGAGTGTCAGTCCAACACTGTCAGGTGAAGATATTCTTGGCGCAGACAGATGGCAGATGATATCCACACCATGCATCAAGCCAGCAATTTGAATCTGCAAGATTCAAGAGCAGAAATCATTCAAATGTTACTCAAATGAAAAACCTAAAGAACCAGCCTTTATGGCTTGTATATTTGATCACTTCAACCAGTCATGCACATTAAGCACTCGTTGATAACTGTTCTAAATTACCTCGAGAACTCATCTGCAGACAGTTCTCATAGTAACCATTACTGGGCTCTCCCCAGCACCATTTTGAAAAGAAGAAACTGGTCCCATCATTCCACCACCAAGTACCCTTGTAGAAGAAAAAAATTAGTAGTTCAGACAGGCCTGTGCTTTATCCTAACCAGTGTTGGGCAAGTTACTTTGAAAAAGTAATTAATTATACTTAAGTTTTCAAGTAATTAATTACTTTTACAATCTTGTTAATCAGTTACTAGCTCATCTACTTTTTTGAAGAAGTAACTAGTAACTATAATTAATTACTTTTTCAAAGTAACTTGCCCAACACTGGTTATCATTAATGCCTGATCTTTTAGCTTCTCTCCCCTGCCTCAGGTTTCACTGCAGGTGGGAATTAACATTTTCTTTTGACAAAATACCTTGAGTCCTTTGCTTCCTCCAATCCAAACTGGCGTGTTGCCAAACAGCTGCATGATCCTTTGGTGCTCCCAGTAAGTGTGCACTGATGCAAGGTTTGCCCCCAAGCCCCAGCAGTGTCTCTTCAATGAAGAAGGACAAAGCAGAGGTTTT